GCCCTGGGCCCGCTCTGAATGGAGCCAGGCAAAACTTGGGTGTGATATGTGTCCCATTAGGGCTCTCTTTCCCCAGGGCCAGACGTCCCCTGGGTCTGAGTTCGGAGCGTCCAGTGCCCTTTTCGCACCGTGAGCTCCCTGCCAAACAGGTCACCTGGCCTCCCCCTGCCTCTTTGTTCCCCAACCCCTTGGGCAGGCTCTTTGCAGAGGCCTGCTGCGGCCGGTTGCTCCAACCAGCCCTGTCGTCCTGGGAAAGGGGTCTGCTCTGGCCAGGCTGGAGCGCCCCAGCCCGAGACGGGTCCTGTGGTCTGGCCTGGGGCAGGAAAGCGGGCTGCCCCTACCCCCTCTGATTAACTGTTAAGCAGTTAACCGATTAACCACTCAGATCCCTAATTAATAGTGTTAGTAATTTCTATGAAATGGGTGTAACTTTGGGTGTGTCTACACTGCACCCTGAGCTCGAAATAAGCTACACAAATCGCGTAGCTTATTTCGGGTGTATTTTGAAAGAGCTTTTTTCATCATTTGGCGCTGCCGAGACAGCACCACATTTCAAAGGAAACTGAGCCTCTGAAATGTCCCTTAATCCTCATGGAACGAGGTTTACCAGGATGTCGGAATAGTGCGTGGCTGCTATTTTTAAAGATGTTTCGAATAATAACGGGCGCACCGTCAAGATGTGGAACAGCTATTTCGGGATACCGGAAATATCCTGAAGGAGCGCTGCAGTGTAGACATAGCCTTTATGAGCTAACGATGTCTAAAACTTTAACTATAATCTTAGGGAAATAGGGGAAATTACTTGGTTCCCCATCAAAATGGCCTACTTGGCAGTAAGAAAGACATTTGGATTTGTGACAGGATATTCCAAGGGAGCTTTTCATGGCTCACCATGCAAAACTGGCCATTTTCAGACAAGGTTCCCCTCTCTGTCGGAGTCTTCAACTTGGCCAGTGTCACCACACATGACGAAGATGATTGATTCCAGAACTTCGCTCCCTGCAGGACCTCAGAGAGGGAAAAGCCTGCAGAGCCCGAGAGTCCCAGCACGTGAGGGGAGGGGCAGGGTCCGGGGGGACTCAGAGGGCGACAGAGACTCAAGCCCCTTCTGACACCTCCCCCATCGCCCCTCTCGCCCGAACAGGCTGAGGAGACACGTCGAGAGTTCGCTCCCGAGCGCCCGTCTGCCAGGGGCCGGGGCCGGGCGATGGCCGGGATGGAGCCCGCTCAGGTAGGGGGTTCAGGGAGCTGCTGGGCGTGGGGAGGGAGGAGACAGGGTGGGATGAAGCTGCTGAGTTTCTGAGCAGGCCCATGGGCAGGGTGTGACCGCGCCCCCATTTCTAACCCAGGCCCCAGCCTCCCTGGGCAGGGCTGTGAAAATGGCCCAGACTCCCAACGCTGAGACCTGAGCCCCCAGCCAGAGGTTGCTGGGAAACACAAAGGGAAGCTGCCGGGATTCCTGTCCCTGCCTGTGGCTCAGAGCTCGGCTTCCGCCTCAGCCTCTGGCTAGCAGGTGTGTGGCCAGGGAGAAGGCCCTGCCCTCTGTCTGCTGAGGGGGAGGGGGATCTCTCTGCCTTTCCTCTGAATCAGGGGTCTGCAACCTTTACAAACCAAAGAGCCAAACAACATCAACATTTAGAGCAAGTGGTCAATATAGAGCGGGAGAAGAATATCCGAAAATATGATTTAATATGATTGATAATTGACCTGATGATTAATAATAGCAGAAAGGAAACATTGCACTCACAGACTTTATTTAATGGAATTTCTGCTGCTTCATTTTTTCCACACATTTCTTTGAAGTTTTTATTGTAACGGGTCAAATCCAGCATCATGCAGGCATTCAGGGTATCTTCTGTCAATCTTATGGCAGGGAGCTGGTGATGTGGGGGTGCAGGAGTCTGGGTTGGAGTGTACGAGGGGCTCAGGCCAGGAGATTGGGGTGTATGATGGATTCAGGGCACATGGTTGGGGTGTGGGAGCATGTAGGACTGTTATGGCAGAAGTCTGGGGATGTGGCAGTATGAGGGGTTCAGGTGTATGCTGGGATCAGGGTTGGGGAGGGGGGAGTGGGCCAGATGGGGTCTGGGCCCCATTTGCAGTCTTGTTGACCAGGCTTCATTTTTTCATACAGGAAAATATTATGTCCATCCCAAACGGTTTCAACATTGTCTTGAGTTATGGCAGGAGGGAGGAACCTTTTGTGAGTCGAGGGCCCACAGAAAAATCCATCGGGGGGGATTCCTGGGGAGGGGGCATCTGGTGTGGGAGAGGGGATGAGTGAGGGGCTTAGGGGGTCTGGCGATGAGGGGGTGGGAGAGGCACTTACACAGTATCTGCCATGCAGCATGAAAACCAGTAACACGCTGCCTGCTGCTCCCATTCCCCGGAAGCCTCCAGGAAGGATTCGCAGGGGAAGACTCCAGCAAAGTGGTTCCTGAGGGACGAAAAAGGCCAGTGCACCTGGAGCCGTTTTTGGTGCTTGTTTCCTGCATGGCGAGGGAAGGAAAAAAGCAGCGCAGCGAGACTTTTTTTGCTCCATTTGTTCCCCGCACGCCAGATCCAGTAGGAAAGTTCTGGGCCTTCTCGCCCCCGCAGGACCAGTGCTGACGTTCCAAGTTTGCAGAGGGCCGTACGGCTGTAGCAGCAGCACTGGCTCCCTGCTGTGGGGGGAAGTAAGGAGGAGCAGGGCTCAAGCTTCAGAAGAGCCATATCTGAGCCCAGGCCTGAAGCCTCTGGGCTGCTATAAACAGGCTGGGGATGGGATTCTACCTCTCCAGTTCATGCACTAAGCTCCAGAGGTCCTAGGTTCAATTCCACCCTCCCCCCCCTGCATTACCTCTCACTTTCTCCCTCTTCTAAAGCCCCTGGGCTGTTCCAAGCAGGGTGGGTGGTGGGTCTGCTTCTCCGCTCCCCCAGAGCTTCCACGGTATCCGCCTTTCTGCTTCACGAGTAATGAATGAGATTGCAGCAGGGGACTTTTGTTTTTTCAGGGGCCTTCGAGGAGGTGGCTGTGTATTTCACCCCGGGGCAGGGGGCGCTGCTGGGCCCCGCTCAGAGAGCCCTCTACAGGGACGTCATGCAGGAGAACTACGAGGCGGTGACCTCGCTGGGTAAGGGCGTCCTGGCCCCTCGGGGATTAGGAGCCGTGGGGTCTGCGTGTCCGACACGGGTCAGGTTCTTCCCTGCTCAGGTGGCCTGGACAGGAATGGGTTCCATGGGCACAGCTGCCGGGGGAGAGCGACTTGCATCTCCGTGCCCTGTGCAGTGAGACCAGGGTGTCAAACCCTAATGGACGTGCTAAATCATCCCCACCCGGCCCCTCTAGATTTCAAGGCGGAGGGTGGGAGCATGTATTCTCCTGTCTGTGTTATTTCTCACTCGCACCCAGAATCCCTGTTCCCTTCCTTCCTTGAGATGCGCTCCAGCTGTGGGGAGGGCTCTGAATTTGCGAGGTTTAGAAACAAGCAGGGGTGTAACTGCAGAGCTGTGAGTGTCAGCAAGGGCCCCAGACTGCCCAGATCCTGGGAACTCCTAGGGAGGGCGTCACAATTCCTCTCACCTCCCCACATGTCTGCCTCTCCCCAGGGGGCTCAGTGACCATGTTCCCGTCCTCTTGGGTTGCACATTCCCCAGCAGAGCCCGGGGACAGGTTCCACTCACGGAATGTCCCTTGGGACAGACGCTCTCCCCACCCTCCATGCGCCCTGACCTGCTCTGATTTCACCCCCTGCGCAGGGTTTCCTGTTCCCAAACCTGAGCTGATTGCCCGGCTGGAACGAGGGGAAGAGCCCTGGGTGCCCGACCTCCAGGCCGCGGAGGAAAGAGAGATCCCGAGAGGCACCCACACAGGTGAGGACTGACGTATCATCTGGCATCCTCCCATGCAGGGCAGGGTGTGGTCAGCTGACATTGCTCACGGTTTTCCAGCAGTCCTGTTAGCTGCAGGAGTTTCCTTCCCATGTTTCAGTCTGTGCAATTTCAGTGTTTTCCCTTGGTGCTGTTCCTCTTTCTCCCCAGCTCAATGACTCCTGCCTGGATTTTCTCTCTCTCCCAACAGGTGATGAGACAGCGAGTGAGAATCAAGAGGGGAATCAAAAGCAGGAAATTCCTGAGGAGATGGAACCGCAGGCGACCTTTGTGGGAAGAGCTGAAGGGAATGTTTCCCAGTGCTTGGAACAGGGAGAGGCCTGGGGAAACTGGCCCAGGCCGGAGAGGCTGCTGGGAAACCTCCCATGTGAACAAATGGACAAATCTATTCAATGTGGGGAAGGACACAAGCATCCAACAGCCCAGCAGACAAACCCCAAGGAAGAGAAACACCAGGAATGGTTCAATTATGGGAAGGGATTTATTGTGAGCCCAGAGCTTATTACAATTCAGAAAGTAGATACTGGAAAGAAACCCCTTGATTGTTTGGACCGCGAGGAAAGCGTCAATAACAGCTCAGATCTTAATACTGATGGGAGAAGCCAAAGTGAAGAGAGAGGCTCTCAGTGCCCTGAGGGAGGAAACGATTTGAATTGGAAGCCTGCCCTGATTGTGCATCAGAGAAGTCACACAGATAGACATCATAAGTGCTTAGACTGTGGTAAAAGTTTCTTAGAGATGTCAGCCCTGATTAAACACCAGGCAATGCACACAGGAGACAGGCCCCATAAATGTTTAGATTGTGGGAAAGGTTTCATATGGAGGTCCTCCCTTGTTTTACATCAGAAAATCCACACAGGAGAGAGACCCCATAAGTGCTTAGACTGTGGGAAAAGTTTCATACAAAGATCAGACCTCATGAATCATCAAGCAACCCACCGGGAAGACAGACCCCATGAGTGTTTAGATTGTGGAAAAAGTTTCAAATGGAGGTCAGCCTTTGTTTCACATAAAAAAATCCACACCGCAGAGAGATCCCATAAGTGCTTGGACTGTGGAAAAAGTTTTCTATGGAGATCATTCCTAGTTTCACATCAGGCAGTCCACACTGGAGAGAGACCCCATGTATGCTTAGAATGTGGGAAAAGTTTCAAACGCAAGTCTGAGCTTGTGAAACATCAGGCAATCCACACAGGAAAGAGACCCCATAAGTGCTTAGACTGTGGGAAAAACTTCATACATAGAGCAGACCTGAGTAAACATCAGGCAATCCATAGAGGAGACCGACCCCATCAGTGCTTGGACTGTGGAAAATGTTTCATATGGAGGTCAGCCCTCGTTTCGCATCAGAAAATCCACACAGCAGAGAGACCCCATAACTGCTTAGAATGTGGGAAAAGATTCTTACGGAAGTCAGCGCTCACTTCACATCAGAGAATCCACACAGGAGAGAGACCCCATCAGTGCTTAGACTGTGGGAAAAGTTTCATAAAGAGGTCAAACCTCGTTAAACATCAAGCAATCCACACAGGAGAGAGACGCTGTGACTGGGCTGTGAGAAAAATTTCATAGGGACGTCAAGCTGTCTTAAGCATCAGGCAATCCATGCAGACCAGAAACCCCATATGTGTTTGGACTGTGGGAAAAGTCTCATGCCTTCGTCATATATTATGAAATATCAGTCACTCCACACAGGAGATTCCGTGAGTGCTTGGCCTGCGGGAACGGTGTCTGAAACAGTTCAGCCCTTCTCAACATCAGGCTGTTTACACTGGAGAGAGAGTCTGTAAGTGCTTAGGTTGTGGTAAAAATTTTACAAACTGATCCGATCTTTCTTCTATGTCAGAGAATTCAAACAAGTGCGAAACTCCCTAAGTGCCTCGACTTTGTAAAAATTTTCACACAGAGATCATATATTGTAACACATCATGTAGTCTGCTTGGAAAAGAGATCCCATAAATGTTTGGACTGTGGAAAAGGGGCACATGGAGATCACACTTCATTAAACATGGGAGAATTGACACAGGATCTAAGCTTTTCTGACATAGTCAAAAAGAGTGAGACGCGTGGAGGGTAATTAACTCAGATTCAGCCTTTAGAAACTTGTTAGGCAAGAGTTTAGATGGTATTTGAAGGCTTTCCACAGAAGACAGGCTTATGATTTTGATATGTAAACGCGCTAAAAAATTGACAGAAGTTTGACGGAGGATAGTAATGCTGTTGATTTATTGCAGAAAACTCACACAATTATCTCAAAAATTGATCATAGTTAGAAAATTTAATCCCAATGAATTGTGTTGTGAACCAAGAGAATATGAAGTGAAATTTCTCAAATATTATTTTTTTTACAGGTTCAAATACATTAATTTTATTACAGCAAAGAACAGAAAGCATACACGGCTCATTTTATATTTCTTTATTACTAATATTTGCACTGTGAATGGGATAAAGAAAAGAAACAGTATTTTTCATTCCACATCATGTAAGTACTGCAGTGCAATCTCTTTATCAGGAATGTGTAATTTTAAAATGTCCATTATTTTTTGTTACACAGCCTCAGTCCACTCCTCAAGATGTTTGTTTCTTTGTCTAAACTCATCCATGGTTGCTTTGGCTGCTTGAGCGATGTCTGGCAGCTCTTCATGAAGACTGAGCACGTGGGGGGATATTTCTTTCCAATTCTAGCAGTGAGTGCCAAAGAGCGATGTTCTTGTTGGTGTTGGGCTTTGCGTTTCCAAAGTCCGTCATTCGATGATTGGAACCTGGGGAGAACAATCTTGCAGTTTGGCTATTTTTAGTGAAAGCTGCTTAGCTTTCTCCATGCAGCTTAGTGCGTTGTCGATGGCCTTTTCTTTGTGTTTCATGTTGTGGTTCCCAAAGAAGTCCTGCTGGTGCTGGCCAGCAGAGACTGTTCTTCCAAGAGCATCAAGATCTAGGCTTTTACACACCTTGCCAACACCCATTGCTACCTCAGTTTAACCCTTTAGTCACCGAGTGCTGGCCAGCATAGCTATCAGTCACACAGGTTAATGGCATCACAAGTTGCCCCACACAATCAGGGCTGGCTTGAGCCACTCCTGCGCCCTGGGCAGCGGGTGCGCGACACATGCATGGCTCCGCTCCCGGATGCACAGAGTATGTGTGGCCCTGCTGCCCGGTGCGCTGCGCACCTTACAGCTGCACTTGGGCACGTGGCGCCTGATTGCAGCTCTAAAGGGCACCGTGCAGCCCCCGGGCATGTGGTGCCTGATGGCAGTTCTAAGGGGCGCCACGCAGCCCCCAGCCTTGGGCACGCGGCACCCCTTACAGCTGCCATCAGGCATCCCCCATAGGTTGGCGCCCCGGGCAGCTGCCCGGCTAACCCCCCCCCTTAATCCAGCCCTGCACACAATAGCAACTGTGTCATATGTGTGAATCATAGAATCGTAATCATAGGGTTGGAAGAGACCTCAGGAGTTATCAAGTCCAATCCCCTGCTAAATCCAGGACCCATCCCAACTAAATCATCCCAGCCAGGGCTTTGTCAAGCCAGAACTTAAAAACCTCCACCATCTCCCTAGGTAAACCATTCCCGTGCTTCACCTTGGCCTCTGATGATAGGACAGAAAGCAATGGGCGTAAATTGCAGCAGGGAAGGTTTAAGCTGGACATTAGGAAAAACTTCCTAACTGTCAGGGAGGTTAAACACTGGAAGAAATTGCCTAGGGAGGCTGTGGAATCTCCATCACTGGAGATATTTTAAGAGCAGATTGGATAGACATCAGGGACGATCTAAATGTAGCTTGCTCCTGCCCTGAGGACAGGGGACTGGCCTTGATGACCTCTTGAGGACCCTTCTATTTCTAGTGTTGTTTGATTCTCTGATTCACCACCTCCAGATGCGGCATCCCTTCCCTACATCTGCTGGCAATGCTCCTACTAATGTACCAAAATTTGCCGTTAGCCTTTTTAGCCGGTCGTTTTTGCTATACACATTTTTGTTGCAACCATCTGGCAACCTTACAATTGCCCGAGGCCGTCAATTGGTTAGGACCTGCCCTGGTTGTCAGCATCCCATAATGCTCTAATTTCTTCCCTTCCCCTCCCCGCCCCCCCCCCACCTGAAAGCAATGACTGTTTTCACACCCTTTTGTCACACCCTTTCCCCCCTGGTTATCTGAGCAGATGCTGTAGCAAGGCAAGCATGGACCCTCTTCAGCTGCAAAGTGCGGTAGTAATAATTGCAAATACTTTGCACCTCATGCTATGGTATGTCTTGGAGGGGTCTTGGGGGAGGGAGAGCACGGACAAGTGACGTATTACAACCTGGTTGTCAGCATCCCATAATGCTCTAATTTCTTCCCTTCTCCTCCCCGCCCCCCCCCCACCTGAAAGCAATGACTGTTTTCACACCCTTTTGTCACACCCTTTCCCCCCTGGTTATCTGAGCAGATGCTGTAGCAAGGCAAGCATGGACCCTCTTCAGCTGCAAAGTGCGGTAGTAATAATTGCAAATACTTTGCACCTCATGCTATGGTATGTCTTGGAGGGGTCTTGGGGGAGGGAGAGCATGGACAAGTGACGTATTACAATCTTTCGAAATTAAATCAAAAGAACGCGGCAGTTTTTTCGATCGTGGAAAACATTTTATGAGGATGTGACGGCGCGTTGGGGTTTTCCCGTCTCCTGCACCCCCGAAATGGCACGAACAGACTCCACCAGCCAGTAGGATAGGGGGAGTTTATTGCTTCTCCAGGATACAGCACAGCACAGATGTCATCTGGTTACAGGAACTGGGGCTAAGAGGCCTCGGTGCCCCCCCTTGAGATGGGGGGTGGCTGGGCCTACAATCCCAGCGCCCTCCCCAGCTCCTCCTCCCCTGCTTTCCAGACAGAAACTAACTCACTCTCTTCCAGCCCTGCCCCCCAGCCAGGGGCAGCATTTCACCTTCCTTTGTTTCTCTCCCTGGGGGGTAGCTGGTCAGACAGGTTGAGAGACCCTCTTTGCATAATGACTCATCCCCTCTCCTGCTGGGCCGTGGTACAGACAGCAGCCAGTGGGGGTTACCATAGCCCAGTTTTTTGACAGTGGTAAACCTCACTTTATGAGGAAAAATGCCTTTTTTTGAAAGAGCCCTTTTGAAAACACGTGTTCTTGGCTGCAAACAGGCCTTTTTCGAAAGAGAGCATCCAGACTGCCTGGGTGCTCTCTTTCGAAAAAGCGGCTCCCTTTTTCAAAAATACTGGTTGCTGTCTGGACGATCTTTCGAAGGAAGCTTTTTCTTTCTTTTGAAAGAATCTTGTCGCCTAAGAGGCTACTAGACTAATTGTTATTTAAGTTTTTCCTGGTACAGACTAACTTGGCTCCACCTCTGAAGCTTCGAGACTGTCACCCGATTACATTTTTGCTGTCAGATCTTGCCAGGGGAGCGGGAAACAGGCTCGCTGTTGCATCTGCTGTGACCAAAAAAAAGAAAAGCGAAGGGCAGACTTTAGCGAAGATACGCTGCAGAATGCAGAATCGAATCTCTTACCCTAAGAGAATGTTTGTCCAATGCAATAGGCAAAAAATATCCTTGAAGAGCTCGATATGCAGCAAATACAGCACAGAGATCTCAGGGCAGCAGCTGGACTCAATTTAGTGGCGGGCATGGTGAGGAACACGTCGGGGCCTCGTGCTATTGCTTCTGCTTGGTAAACACGTGAGACACAGCGGCTGCAGCCAGGCAAGGGCCTGTACTTGCAAAAGGGGTCCAGCAATAGGCAAAAAATATCCTTGAAGAGCTCGATATGCAGCAAATACAGCACAGAGATCTCAGGGCAGCAGCTGGACTCAATTTAGTGGCGGGCATGGTGAGGAACACGTCGGGGCCTCGTGCTATTGCTTCTGCTTGGTAAACACGTGAGACACAGCGGCTGCAGCCAGGCAAGGGCCTGTACTTGCAAAAGGGGTCCAGAGTGGCATGGAGACAAGGCAGAGATTCCCCCCCCCCCCCTGGCTGGAAGAGTGCAACTTTCCTTTCCCACGACAGCCTGCAGGCAGTCAGATGAGATGGTCTGGGCATGGGGGCAGAGCAGGGGCTCTCATGGTCACCGTGTGTCCGGTACCCCCTTCCCTGGATTGCTGAGAGAGTGCAGAAAAGTGTTGTTATTTATTATTATGGGGCTGTGCTCCCTGCTTGCTCGACTTGCCAAGCCCCCTCTTTCTGGGGGTAGGTGTCTAGCTGGGGGGAAGTTGCAGGAGCTGGCTGGAGGTGCGGGGTCTCGGTGGAAGGGATGAATGAGGAGGCTGGGGGCGCAGAGTCTTGGGGGGGGGTGAGTGAGGGGTCTGGGCATGCAGGGTCCTGGCAGGGTGGTTGGGGCCATGCTGGGATCCCACGCTGGTGCTCCATCCTCACCCCTCCAAGCTGAGACCCCGCACACTCAGCTCCATATTCACTATGAGAACTCCAGAAAGAGATATTTTAATTTGAGCCACTATCCTACACCAGGGCTGTGTCTAGACTGGCCAGTTTTTCTGGAAAATCAGCCGCTTTTCCGGAAAAACTTGCCAGCTGTCTACACTGGCCGCTTGAATTTCCGCAAAAGCACTGACTTCCTACTGTAAGAAATACTGTGCTGCTCCCGTTCGGGCAAAAGCCCTCTTGCACAAATCATTTGCACAAGAGGGCCAGTGTAAACAGCACAGTACGGTTTTGCGCAAAAAAGCCCCGATGGCTAAAATAGTGATCGGGGCTTTTTTGCGCAAAACCGTGTCTAGATTGGCCATGGATGCTTTTCCACAAAAAGTGCTTTTGGGAAAACGCGCCCTGCCAATCTAGACGTGATTTTCCGAAAATGCTTTTAACGGAAAACTTTTCCGTTAAAAGCATTTCCGGAAAATCATGCCAGTGTAGACGTAGCCCATGTGTGAACTCCTTATACTTAACAATCAGTCCCTCCTTGTATTTAGGTGTGACGGTCACCTTTCCCATACCCAAGGAAGAGCTCTGTGACGGCTTGAAAGTTTGCCCGAGCCATTAACGGAAGTTGGTTCAATGAAAGGTTCTTGGCATTTACCTGGTGCTTAATTTCCACTGTCTCCAGGCTTCCGGCATGGGCCGCATCCCCGCATCTCCTCCAGCTCAGGGACCACCTCCTGCACCCCAGATTCCTCATCCCACGCCCCACCCCCAAGCCCACAGCCCCAGTCTGGAGCTCTTCCCCAAAACTGGAGCCCCCTCTTGCATCCCAAACCCCTCATCCCCAGGGCTGACTGCCCCAAGCCCTTCACCCACTGTCTCCAGGCTTCCGGCATGGGCCGCATCCCCGCATCTCCTCCAGCTCAGGGACCACCTCCTGCACCCCAGATTCCTCATCCCACGCCCCACCCCCAAGCCCACAGCCCCAGTCTGGAGCTCTTCCCCAAAACTGGAGCCCCCTCTTGCATCCCAAACCCCTCATCCCCAGGGCTGACTGCCCCAAGCCCTTCACCCCAGATTCCTCATCCCACGCCCCACCCCCAAGCCCACAGCCCCAGTCTGGAGCTCTTCCCCACTTCCCTCCATCCTGCCCCTGTGCCCTCCCTCCTGGACAAGATACCCTACTCCTAGCCTGCTCCTGCACCCTCCCTTGCTCTTGCATCTCCCCCCTGGCTGGACACTCTATCCACTCCCACCCTGCCCATCCACCCGCCATTGCTCCTGCTCCCTCCTCCTGGCCAGACAATCTACTCCCAACATGCTCCTGCACCATCTCTCCCATTCAGCCCTCACACCCTCCTGCACCCCACCTACCTGCTCCAGCCTGGAGTGCCCATTTACAGCCAAACCCCCATTTAGAGCCCTTACCCCAGCCCCTTAGCCCCACCCCTGCCACATGCTTTCCATGGATGGCATGACGTCTGTTCTGTGATACCGCACCTCCATACTGGTGCACAGAACAAAAGGCATGGACATAAAAATTAGAGGGAACACTGGCCATGCCCCCCACTTTCCATTCCTCACTCCCGCAAACCCCCCTCCGGGGCTGAGCTCTGCCCCTCACACTGATTCTCTCCCAGACACGGCAAATCCCAACCTCGTCCTGTCTGGGGATCGGAAACATGTGAGATGGGAATCTACACAGCAGACACTGCCTGATAACCCGGAGAGATTTGACTCTGAGAAATGTGTGCTGGGCCGTGAGGGGTTCACCTTGGGGAGACATTGCTGGGAGGTGGAGGTGGGGGATGGGCGAGACTGGGCTGTGGGGGTGGCCAGAGAGTCTGGGAGCAGGAAGGGAAGGATCAGCCATAGCCATAAGGGGGGATTTGGGCTGTGCAGTGGTTGTGTGTGTGTGTGTGTGTGTCAGTTCTGGGCTCTAACCTCCCTGGCCACCCTCCTACCCCTGAGCCTAGCCCCCAGCAGGATCTAGGTTTGTCTGGACTGTGACCAGGGGCAGGTGACATTTATTGAGGCTGATGACAAGGCCCCAATATTCACTTTCCCGCTGGGCTCCCTCCCCGGGGAGAGACTTTGACCCTGGCTCTGGAGGGGGCCAGAATCCCAGCTCAGCCTGTGTCCCTGAAACCAGTCTCATTCCCCCGCCCCCCAATGATCTTGGAGGACTCCCCTGTACCCAGACCCTACCCCTCATTTCTATGATATGGCAAATTCCTCCCTTCCTGCAGCCCCAGGCATGGGACAGGGAGGAGGGAATAACACCTGGGACTGCAGAAGGAACAGAGTGACCCTGAGGGGCAGAGGTGGGGAATGAACTAACAGTCAGGCTGGGGACAGGCAGAGGTGGGGGTGGCAGGACACAGAATTAATTAATCAGGGTTTGGAGGGTTAGTTTCACCTTTGGACTCTTCTCCCAGTTGCAGTCAGCAGCAACAATGGCTGGGTCCGTGTCTAGGGGCGGTGTCAGGCCACCTCCAGGTCCAATCCCAGGCTGGGTTCAGGCCGGAGAGGTGTGCCCCAGCCATGCCAAGTCCAGCCCTGGGTGGGGATGGGGGATGCAGTAGGTGTGGGAAAACTAGCAGTGGCTGGGTTCAAACCAGGTAGGGGAGCCCTGGCCCTGGCAAGGGCCTTGTAGTACTGAGCTCTGTGCAGACTTGGAGCCAATGGACCCAAAGAGTCCCGATTCTGGAAACTCTCAGCATCCCAAAGGCACTGAAAGGACCAGCATGGGGAATGTCACAGCTGTGATTTAATGGGAAAAGGGGCACCCCCAACTGGGTAACTGCATGTCCCTAAGGAACCAGCTGGACACGGTGCCTCCGACAGCCCGGGAGATAAATTACAGGGAACTCTACCTTCCCCTCTTTCCTTGTAACCCTGCTTAGCTATGGAAACCCACAGCGAGAGACTGACAGGCCAGCAAGCAGACCAGCCCTATGGGTTGTATGGGGTTGAAGGGAAAGACGTGACTGGTCAGGGCAGAAATGACAGCTGTAAGAATGAGCTAAAGCCGTTATGTGTGTCCATGTCGCCCACATGTCCCAGCACACCAGCCTCTGGAGTGAGTGCCCCCAACATTCCTGTGGGTACGGACACCTA